CTTTTTGAGGTGCCTCAAAAAGAGTTGCAAGTTCTGACTGGGTATGGACAAGACAAGCATGATAATGCTGCTTTTTGAGGTGCCTCAAAAAGAGTTGCAAGTTCTGACTGGGTATGGACAAGACAAGCATGATAATGCTGCTTTTTGAGGTGCCTCAAAAGGAATTGCAAGTTCTGACTGGGTATGGACAAGACAAGCATGATAATGCTGCTTTTTGAGGTGCCTCAAAAAGAGTTGCAAGTTCTGACTGGGTATGGACAAGACAAGCATGATAATGCTGCTTTTTGAGGTGCCTCAAAAAGAGTTGCAAGTTCTGACTGGGTATGGACAAGACAAGCATGATAATGCTGCTTTTTGAGGTGCCTCAAAAAGAGTTGCAAGTTCTGACTGGGTATGGACAAGACAAGCATGATAATGCTGCTTTTTGAGGTGCCTCAAAAGGAGTTGCAAGTTCTGACTGGGTATGGACAAGACAAGCATGATAATGCTGCTTTTTGAGGTGCCTCAAAAGGAGTTGCAAGTTCTGACTGGGTATGGACAAGACAAGCATGATAATGCTGCTTTTTGAGGTGCCTCAAAAAGAGTTGCAAGTTCTGACTGGGTATGGACAAGACAAGCATGATAATGCTGCTTTTTGAGGTGCCTCAAAAGGAGTTGCAAGTTCTGACTGGGTATGGACAAGACAAGCATGATAATGCTGCTTTTTGAGGTGCCTCAAAAAGAGTTGCAAGTTCTGACTGGGTATGGACAAGAAAAGCATGATAATGCTGCTTTTTGAGGTGCCTCAAAAAGAGTTGCAAGTTCTGACTGGGTATGGACAAGACAAGCATGATAATGCTGCTTTTTGAGGTGCCTCAAAAAGAGTTGCAAGTTTTGACTGGGTATGGACAAGACAAGCATGATAATGCTGCTTTTTGAGGTGCCTCAAAAAGAGTTGCAAGTTTTGACTGGGTATGGACAAGACAAGCATGATAATGCTGCTTTTTGAGGTGCCTCAAAAAGAGTTGCAAGTTTTGACTGGGTATGGACAAGACAAGCATGATAATGCTGCTTTTTGAGGTGCCTCAAAAAGAGTTGCAAGTTCTGACTGGGTATGGACAAGACAAGCATGATAATGCTGCTTTTTGAGGTGCCTCAAAAGGAGTTGCAAGTTCTGACTGGGTATGGACAAGACAAGCATGATAATGCTGCTTTTTGAGGTGCCTCAAAAGGAGTTGCAAGTTCTGACTGGGTATGGACAAGACAAGCATGATAATGCTGCTTTTTGAGGTGCCTCAAAAAGAGTTGCAAGTTCTGACTGGGTATGGACAAGACAAGCATGATAATGCTGCTTTTTGAGGTGCCTCAAAAGGAGTTGCAAGTTCTGACTGGGTATGGACAAGACAAGCATGATAATGCTGCTTTTTGAGGTGCCTCAAAAAGAGTTGCAAGTTCTGACTGGGTATGGACAAGACAAGCATGATAATGCTGCTTTTTGAGGTGCCTCAAAAAGAGTTGCAAGTTCTGACTGGGTATGGACAAGACAAGCATGATAATGCTGCTTTTTGAGGTGCCTCAAAAAGAGTTGCAAGTTTTGACTGGGTATGGACAAGACAAGCATGATAATGCTGCTTTTTGAGGTGCCTCAAAAAGAGTTGCAAGTTTTGACTGGGTATGGACAAGACAAGCATGATAATGCTGCTTTTTGAGGTGCCTCAAAAAGAGTTGCAAGTTTTGACTGGGTATGGACAAGACAAGCATGATAATGCTGCTTTTTGAGGTGCCTCAAAAAGAGTTGCAAGTTCTGACTGGGTATGGACAAGACAAGCATGATAATGCTGCTTTTTGAGGTGCCTCAAAAAGAGTTGCAAGTTTTGACTGGGTATGGACAAGACAAGCATGATAATGCTGCTTTTTGAGGTGCCTCAAAAAGAGTTGCAAGTTTTGACTGGGTATGGACAAGACAAGCATGATAATGCTGCTTGCCCTGCGTGCCTCACCTATTTCTCTCGCCCCTCTCGCTCCTCCCAGTCAACTTCTTTCCAGCGACCACCTCTCGTCCTGAACCACCCCGGAAATTCAACTCACTCCGTAACTTCCTTTAAGCACGTGTGTTTCCACCCTGGCCTCCGTGCACCAGGCATGAGCTGTACAGCCGATGCTCACGCCTACCATACCCCCTCTCTCTCCTCCACCTGCACGCCTCCCACTCGTGCTGCTCTGCCCGCCACTGTAGACGACCAGTGAGACGGCACAATAATTGAGGCGCCTTTAACTCACCTTCACTCCGCCCACTTGCTCTCTGCCTGCCATGTGAGAGAGGACCAGTGAGGTAGCACACAGCACACTCGCCACGACCACAGCACCCACCACCGCAGCACCTGCTAGCACCACCGCCAGCGCCACCAGTGCCACTATCAGCAGCACTGCCTCATTTTCTCTCACCTGCACTTTGACCACTCGTGCCACTCAGGCTGTCGCGGTGGAGAATTAACGAGGCGGCATGACGCACACCCATGGCTGCAGCACCTGCTAGCACTACCAGTAGCACCATTGCCGCCAGCACAACCACCCACCGCCGCACGCGCCTTCTCCTTCCGTCCACCACCACCCCCCTCCCTGCCCTACCAAAGCCACTGCTGCTGCTTCCAAGTGACGCCCCACCCAACCCAAAATGAAGCCCAAAACTGCTGCTGCTGCTGCTGCCACGCGCTTGGCTATGGTGGGAGGAGGGGAGAGAGGAGGAGGGGAGAGAGGAGGAAGGGAGAGAGGAGGAAGGGAGAGAGGAGGAAGCAGAGAGCCAGCGCCATCGGTGGCGGAGGTACCGCCACACACGCCACTCCCCCGCCTTGTTGCCCTTGCTGCTGCTGCTGGTACCGCTGGTGCTGCCGGTGCTGCTGCGTGAGGCGGCGGAGGAGGGGTAGGAGCAGGAGGGGGAGGAGGCGAGAGGCGTGGTGACAGCAGCAGCGGCAGGGAGGGGGGAGAAGCCTTGCAGTGACTGGCCGAGGACCAGGGAGGTGTGTGCTGGTTGCTGGGAGGGGAGATGGGGGGAAGAGGGAAGAGTGGCAGGGAGGAAAGGGAGTGGATGGTGACAGGAGCAGCGGCAGGGATGGGGGAGAAGCCTTGCAGTGACTGACCGAGGAGTCGAGGACCAGAGCAGTATGCGTTGGTTGCTGGGGGCGCAGCGCAATTGAGAAAAAGGATTGGCGACAGGGAGGAGAGGGGGGAGGGGGGGATCACGAAGGTGAGATCGGTGGGTTGTGGAGAGCAACCAGGAGGATGCGAGTGCGAGAGGGGACCGTGCTGGCAGGAGGGAAGAGAGAGACATTTGGGAGGTATGCAAAAGGGCGTTGTGTCAGACGTCAGGAAAATGTAGTGAAAGCCCATATCATGTCGTTGAAGCCAGCAAAATGTGGTTGAAAGCTGGTAAAACTCTGTTGAAAGCCATTATGTTAATAGCCCGTGAAATGCCATGAACCAGCAGTGCTATCATTGCGAGCTGGGTGGGGAAGGAGGAGGGCGGTTCTTCTCACCGAGGCTCGCCTCATGGCGGATTCGCGAACTCAATGAAGTGGCGATGACGAGGCAGGGCAGCAACGTAGGACTGCAGCACTGTAGCAGAACAGCAGGGCTGCAAAGGTGGACCCAAACGGCTCCGCGCAACTCTTTCCGCACTCCCCAGGCCTGCCGCGCTCACTACTCACGCTTGCCCGCGCGCACTTGCGCCTGCCCGCGCTCACTTGCGCCTGCGCGCGCTCACTTGCGCATGAACACCTTCCCCCCGACGATCTTGTGCGCGGGCTTTCCCTTGATCATGCGCATCCGCGCAAACTCCGACCCGCACGCGGGGCACTTCATGTCCCCCGCCGTGAAATCCTCCGCAATGCGCTCTACGAAACACTTAACTAATGCCCCGTTGCCGCCCTTGCGGTACCGGTATAGCTGCTGCTGGCACTTAGCGCAGAAGATCTTCACGGTCTTGGTCGGCCCGCTCGCGGGGGGAGGTTTCGATTCGTCCTCGTTAGAATCTTCCTCGCTAGCGCGATGGAAGGATTTTGCCGCACTTGCCGTTACGCCCGCTTCGTTTAGACGACGAGTCGCGATCAATTCAGCGCGCGAATGCGTGAACAGAGTAAGATTACTGAAACTGGACCTGGACGAACGGAGGCGATTAAGACTACTATGTGCACTTAGTAGCAAAGTACGCGTGCCAGGAGTGACACAGTCGATCAAATCGCTCGCGATGGAAGCTACAGGAAAGGAAGAAATCAGACGACGCGCAGAAGGAAATGCTGGCAGCGGCACGAACACGCTGGAGCGGGGGACGCGCGAAGCCAGAGGCGCGGCGCGAGCGATCATTTCGCGGAGGGATACAGTGCGGTGGCGTGCGGTGCTACGGAATTGTTGATCAAGCAGGCAGGCACAACAATATACTACTTGGGGATTTGGTTCCAGTCCGGTGCTGCTATCTGCAACATCTCTTGTGGTGGGGACTAGAGTAGAGATACGGGAGCATAGGAGAAGCGCATTGTGACTTTTCGAGGGATGGACCAGCATGCCAGCGAGAAATTCGAGCCGAGTTGATCTGGTAACCTGCGAGCCTCGTCGCAGTGCCACTGGGCTAGGATTGAGGGTAACACGCTGGAGATCTGAGTAGGGAAGTGGACAGGGCGATTGCGCGAAGGCACTTCTGTTTTCGTTCGACCGGAAACACCCTTTTGTTACCCGAAGACGACCGCGTCACGACACTTGTAACGTAGCGACAGCATTCACGAGCCTACCACAACTATTTTCGCAGCTTTTGTTATCCAACCTAACAGGCAACATCCATTTCTACCGTCACCTGCCCACTCCTCCTCACACAACACCATGCCGCAGAGCAGACCTAAAATAGCCGCCTTGTTCAGTCGTTAGGTAACAGGGCTCGTCGCTCTAGATCTCTCAGTGCTGCTTTCATTGCGGACGGGCCGCGATTCGCGGTTCGACGCTGCAGGACTATCCCAAGACGTGCGAAATGCGAAATGCGCTGTAACCCTTATCGTGCTCCCCTCCACCCCATTCAGTCGCCATTCTCTCTCGCGACAATCAGTCGCTCGCGACATTTCCTCGGGATTTTCATCGCCGCACCCATCCCTCCCACCGCGCTTTCTCAAACCCCTCCTTCCGCTGATAGTCTCGTCATTTCAGCCGCCTTACAAGTTCCGTCTCTCAAGTTCCGTGTATCAGCACGCGCAATGGCTGGATCCCCAGTCTCCTTCTCTTCTTCCTCCTCATCCTCCTCCTCGCCCTCCTTCCTCTCCTCCCGCCTCCTGGGCACCATCATCCGCGTTACATGCCTCCTCGCTTGCCTCGCCATCATCGCATTCTTAAGTGTGAGCTACTGGGCGCTGCGGGCCACTAATCTCACGCCGCGTGTCGAGGAGTTTAGGGACCACTGGGACTCGTGCGTGAATCAGCCCATGGGCCACTGGGTCAAGCTCGCCGTGCCGTCTTCGCGCGGCGTTCCCTGCTCGCACATAGTTAAAGCGGCGATTAAGAGGGGCGAGGCCGGGGTGGAGCGAGGCCGGGTGCTGCATCGGCTGCAGCTGAAGGAGCAGCCGGGAAGGGACGGCTGCGCGGTGAAATACGATGCTGACGTGGACCCCTGGGATATGCATCCTGTGCCACGTGGCAAATTCTCCTACTCCTCCTGCCACGTGGAATGGATCATCTACTCTTCTGATTGCGGACTCAGCATGGTTCGGATGGCGGATTTCGCTCACATGGCGGCCGTTCCGTTCGCCGTGGTGGGGGTGGGCGTCCCCTGGAGAGGCCAGGGCGGCCGCATGCGGACTATCCGCGACTACCTCCGCTCCCTGCCGCCCGACCGCATTGTCATTTCCACCGACGCCGACGACGCCTTCCTCATGCCGGGCCCCGCTTGCCGCCCAGAGAATCTTGTCGAGGCGTTTCTCTCGCTCAACGCACCCGTGGCCTTCGGAGGTGAGATCTTCTGCTACCCGGACTGGCGGAAAATCGAGGTGTTTTACCCTCGGAAAATCAACGAGACGAAGAACTGGTTCCTGAACTCTGGAGCCTACGTGGGATACGCATGGGCCCTGGCTAAAATCATCGATGCCACATACGTGGGAGACTGCATGCAGGACCAGCGCGCATACACCCTCGGGTTCATCGGCCAGCAATACCTCTTCAGGCACCTCCCCCGCGTGCCCTACCCTGAACCCAGCGACTTTGAATCCGCTCTCAGCAGCATGGGTAGCGTCACTGCAGCGGTGGCCGCCCAGGAACGGTTTGCCGACTCTCCGTTCCGCAAGCCGTGGCGCAACCCGCGCCCTGTGCGGTACAACACGACGATGTCGCCGTTCCACCGGCTGCCGCCCGCGTCAGAAGAGAAGGTGATTAGTGAGGCGATGGAGGCGGGGCAGAAGGATGCTCCGTCCGTCATGGCTGCTCCGTTCATGAAGCTGGATCATTACAACACGCTGTTCACGCACCTGGGAGGGTACCCCTGGGAGGAGTTTGAAGTGGTGGGGAAGGGTGGAGAGGCGATGGTGCGCGCGAGGAGCACGGGCGGCATGGCGTGTATTTTGCATCAGCAGGGGGACAAGATGCAGAATCTGTCCATGTATTATGTGTTTGAGCAGGCCAGGCTGGACGATGTGCAGGCTGCACGGGGGTATGTGTAGGGAAGAAGGTGGCTGCTTATTGATGTGATGGGGGTATTAGCATGGGAGATGGGGCTTGGTAGTGCATGGTCGGTAAACTGCATGTGGAATGCCATGCCATGCATGCATTTGGCATGTCATCCATGGTTCGTGGTTCATGGTTCCTTCTGTGCATGCTTCAGGATTTAGCAATTGGGCCAGGGAGATTACAGCTTACGAAGTATGGGGGTGCTGAGTAGGCTGTAGTAGAGGTGAAACCGATAGCCAGTACCATGGTATTGCATGATGAAGCTGGCAGAAGAATAACATCACTTTTGGAAAATCATATTTTAAGGAATCCAACAAGGATGTACGTTTCTATGTGTGTAGTCGAGAGACAGTGTTTGGGTGAATCTGACACAGCGTGTGCCTTGTGCAAGAAACCACGTGTTCGACCTTGTCCGCGTTCGACAAGCCATTCTTTTGCGGTCAGGCTCGCCTCTTCAGCAGCCCACCCACCATCACCTTGCCCAGATCCTCCCATCCCGCTCATCACTGGACCAATCGGTTTGTCAAGCTCGCACGGCGGTCAGCGGAATATTCGCTTTCTGCTCAATGCTGTCGCATCCAGGCAATGGAAACATGCGAGCACAGCCACACTGCCATCCCTACAAAAAGTACTCCGCAGCAATTCACGGAACAACCGTAATGTAAAATCAAACCTACCAAAACGTTCCGAAACGAGAGAAATATTATTTAGAAACTCTAGAAGTCATACCGCATCGCATTGCACCGCACATAAGTAACAGTTTCAGAACTCCCTGATGAACGCGACATTCACTGGCACAGAAGAGTTGCAATGATCAAATCCCTCCACCGTCCTTGTTCACACCAACCCCAGAACACCACATTCCGTTGCGAACATACGATGCGACCTGGTTCATTGCCCCTTCTCCATCCATGACCACCCCAAGCGTATCCTTCTCTCTGCAGCAGCACGTCTCGTCTCTGCTGCTCCATCACCACCGTCCCTCCGCATTGCCCTCGCAATGCGCGCACTGTCACTACTCAATCGCTCCCCCCCAGCGCCCGTTTCTATGCATCCCGGTCCACGCATCTGACTGCCGCGAATCCGCCGCGGCGCGACCAACTCAGTTGGCTTATCACGTAGTATACGTGATCCTGGCCTCGCCCAGCCGCCTTTCTCCTGCGAGTTCATGCGAAAACATTCGCGCCTGCCTGCCTGAAGACTCCGGGCGGCGGTCCTCGTTTGCCGTCGCCGTCGCCGTCGCGCGCGGCGCGCATGGGCGCGTGTTTCTCCAGCGAGGCTTTGCTGCGCGCCGATAGGAACAGCGCGCCGTCCCGGGGGGGTAAGGCGATCCGATCGTCAAGTAGTACGACTGACTCCCAACAACCGAGATGACTTATGAGTCAATTTAAACTTTCCCAAGCAGCGACAAATCTACATTTATTTCTGATGCTCATGCGTCGCTGACCCATCCAGCCCTTCTTCGGACCTGCGGCTCCACGCTCCACCCCAATTGTACCGTTTCCCCTTCCCCTTTCCGGTCTGCTTCTTCCCTTTCCCCCCTTCCCCCTCCCCTCTCCCCCCCTCCCAATCCCCCTTTCCTCCTCCCCCCTCCCCTCTCCCCATTTCCCCCTCACCCCTCCCCCCTCCCCTTTTCCCCCTTCCCCCTTCCCCCTTCCCCCTTCCCCCTCCCCCCTCCTCCCCACCCGGCCCCCGCTCGTCCTGCGCAGCGCGCAAGAGCACTCCCCGCGCACCTGAGAACCTTTTGGGGCAGCCGTTTCGGGCAGTGGAGGAGGATTATGAGATAGGTAAGGGGGGGGATCGGGACTAGGGGAGGAATGGGAGATGGGTGAAGGGAGGAATGGGGAATAGGTGAGGAGGAATGGGAGATGGTATGAGGGGAGAATGGAAGATGGGAGGGGAGGAGTGAGAGATATGAGAGGGGAGGAAGCAATGGGGAAAGTGAGGGGAGGAGTGGGAGAGTGAGGGGAGGAATGGGAGATGGGTGAGGGGCGATGGGAGAAGGGTGAGGGGAGGAATGGGAGAAGGCTGAGGGGAGGAATGGGGGATAGGTGAGGGGAGGGCGACGAAAAGCGGGGTGGAAGATGGAGCATAGGTAAGGGATGGAAAGGAGGAAGATGTGTCATTGGAGCATCGCGATGGGTTGGGTGGCAGGTGCAGCGAGTAGGCCTATTACCCACCCCACGCCATCTGCCGGGCATGCCGATTCCTTTGCATATACTCTCTGTATATCCCAATCCATCGTCTTTGAGGCCATTGCTCTTTTTTACCGCATGGGCGCATGTGTTCACAGCGCAGGTGTATGCAACAACCACACTACACTCCTCCACCTCTCCCCTTGGTACAGGCAGGGAGCTGGGGCGGGGGCCGTATGGCATCCCATACATACATCGCCACGCATCGCCAGGCATCCACTGTGACTCAAGCCTCGGTCATGTGTGCATACATCCACCGCACTCCACCCCACCCCACCTCTCCCCTTGGTACAGGCAGGGAGCTGGGGCGGGGGCTGTATGGCATCACGTACGTCGCCACGCATCGCCAGTCACGCGAGCTCTTTGCTTGCAAGACCATCACCAAGGTGACCGCGCCCTTCCTGCCCACACCTTTCCACCCCACCCCACCGTTCCCCACCATCCCCGTTCCCCTCAGCACCACCTCTTCCCCACGCTGTGTGTCAACTTGGCACGAGAGGCCACCACCCTCAACCACCTCTATCCACCCCATTTCACCGCTCCCGATCTGTAAACCCCCAACCAGCGCCACCTGTCCCCCACCTCATGTGCCAAGGTGGCACGGGAGGCCGCCATTCTCGCTCACACTCTTCCACCGCATTCCACCGTTTCCCACCTGCCCACCCCCAACCAGCGCCACCTGTCCGCCACGTCATGTGCCAACGTGGCAAGGGAGGCAGCCATCCTCGCCCACCTGTCCACCGGCCATGCGGGCATTGCAACGCTCATCGACCAATACGAGGACGCCACGTGTGTGCACTTCATTCTGCAGCTCTGCACAGGTGAGCAGGAGGGGTGGTGTGTTGGTGCCACAGGTGGAGTGAGAGGAAACGTGGGGTATCACAGGTGCTATGCTGCTGCTGCTGCTGCTGCTGCGTGGTGTGTACGGCAGAGGAAAGGCGAGTCTACGAGCTCAGCCAACCAGATCATTCCCTAATAGTTCGTCTGCCCTACCCCTAGCCCTCGTCCTCCCCTTCCGCACTCCTTCTCCCTCCCCCTTCCCTGTCTGCCCCTCCTCCTAGGCTGCTTGCTGTAGGACAGGGTTAAGGCGGAGGGCAACGTTTACATTTGATTCAAAAGCCCAATTCCACTCCTGCCTCTCCTGCCACTCCTGCCTCTCCCATCCCTTCCCCCCCGCCCCCCTCCCCCCCCCCCAGGCGGCATGCTATACGATGGGGTCAAGGCGGAGGGCAGCTACAGTGAACAGCGTGCGGCCGGCATGGTTCGGCAGATAGTGCAGGCAGTGCAGTACATGCACAAGCAGGGCGTGGTGCATCGGGATCTCAAGCTCGAGAACTTCCTGCTGCTGCACCAGGGGGAGGATGCGCCCCTCATGGCCATTGATTTTGGGCTGTCGACCTTTTTTCAGCCGGGTGAGTGGCAGTGTAGTGCAGTGCAGTGCAGTGCAGTTCAGTGCGGTATCCAGGGGAGGCAGTGTACGCGCACGATGTGGTGCATCGGGATCTCAAGCTCGAGAACTTCCTGCTGCTGCACCCTATGCCCCCCTCATGGCCATCGACTTTGGCCTTTCCACATTCTTCGAGCCGGGTGCGTGTCGGTGTGCTGGTGGTACGGGTGTCGGTGCCTTGAGAAACCCCAAGTGATGCGGCACATGCATGGGCGGGGAGTGGTGGGGTATGGTGCATCGAGATCTCAAGCTTGAGAACTTCCTGCTGCTGCACCCGGGGAAGGACGCACCCCTTATGGCCATCGACTTTGGGCTATCCACGTTCTTCGAACCGGGTGAGTGTCGGTGTGCTGGTGACTTGTGAACCCCCAAGTGAAGCAGTACATGCACGGGCGGGGTGGGGTGCATCGGGATCTCAAGCTCGAGAACTTCTTGCTGCTGCACCCAGGGGAGGATTCCCCTCTGATGGCCATGGATCTCGGCCTTTCAACATTCTTTGAGCCAGGTGTGTACGTGTCGGTCCTCAACATGCCTTCTGAGGGGCAGGGTGGGGTGGGGTGCATCGGGATCTCAAGCTCGAGAACTTCTTGCTGCTGCACCCAGGGGAGGATTCCCCTCTGATGGCCATGGATCTCGGCCTTTCAACATTCTTTGAGCCAGGTGTGTACGTGTCGGTCCTCAACATGCCTTCTGAGGGGCACGGTGGGGTGGGGTGCATCGGGATTTCAAGCTCGAGAACTTCTTGCTGCTGCACCCAGGGGAGGATTCCCCTCTGATGGCCATGGATCTCGGCCTTTCAACATTCTTTGAGCCAGGTGTGTACGTGTCGGTCCTCAACATGCCTTCTGAGGGGCAGAGTGGGGTGGGGTGCATCGGGATCTCAAGCTCGAGAACTTCCTGCTGCTGCACCCGGGGGAGTATTCCCCTCTCATGGCTATCGACTTTGGGCTGTCTACCTTCTTTGAGCCAGGTATGTACACAGTACATGTCGGTCAGTGCCCTGTGAAACTGCACGTGAGGCAGTGCAGTGCAGTGCATCAGGGGAGGGATCTCAAGCTCGGGAACTTCCTGCTGCTGCATGCAAGGGAGGATGCACCGCTCATGGCCATCCACCTTGGGCTTTCAACATTCTTCGAGCCGGGTATAAGTGTTTGTTACTTGTGAGGCCGCGTGTGAGGCAGTGCAGTACATGCACGGGCGGGGCGTGGTGCACAGAGTTGGTAGGCAGTTCACCGCGACACATACAGCTCTACTTCCTCCTTTAATTTCCTCCTCTAACCTCACTCCCTCCCACTCTGGCTCATCACTTCCCCCCCCGCTTGCGTTCTCCAGGCTAACGCTTCAAGGAGGTGGTGCGCAGCAGTGAGTTCGTCCAACCATTACGCATGCTGACTTGCTTTCTCCTACTCTCGCTCCCCCCTCACTCCCACCCTCGCTCATTGCTTCCCCCACCCATGTCTCCCCAGGCCAGGCCAATGCCCCCCCGATTTGGTGGGCATTGCGTCCTCCCTCCCTCCCCCATTATGCTTACTTGTTCTCTGCTCTATTGCTTTCCTCACCACATATCCCAGGGCAGCGCTTTAAGGAGGTGGTGGGCAGTGCGTACTATGTGGCGCCAGAGGTGCTGAGGAGAGACTACGGCAGCGAGTGTGACGTGTGGAGCATTGGAGTCATCACCTACATGCTGCTGTGCGGCACCCCGCCATTCTGGGATGGTATGCTGGGGTGTGGTATGGTGGAATGCGGTGATGTGATGTAGTGCACGGTGCGGTATGGTGTGTGACGTGACGAGGCAGTTATGGCAGGACGTGTGGAGCATTGTGGTCATCACCTACATGCTGCTGTGCGTTACCCCGCCTTTCTGGGATGGTATGCTGGGCTGGGGTGTGGTACGGTAGAATGCGGTGATGTGGTGTAGTGCAGGGTGTAATGTGTGACGAGGTAGTCACGGAGAGTGTGACGTGTGGAGCGTTGGAGTCATCACCTACATGCTGCTGTGCGGCACCCCACCTTTCTGGGTTGGTGGGTTGGGATGAGGTGGTTTTGTGCGCTGGAATGCAGTGAGTGAGGTGGCGGTGTGGTGTGCAGGGTATGGCATGGCATGGCATGGCATGGCATGGTATGGTATGGTATGGTATGGTATGGTAGCGAGTGTGGTCTGTGAAGCGTTGTGCAGGTCACCTACATGCCCCCACCAGGTCACCTACATGCCCCCACCAGGTCACCTACATGCCCCCACCAGGTCACCTACACTCCGCCGGCTCCCAGAAGGCGAAGCATCACCCCCCCTCCTTCTCCCCCTCCTTCCCTCATCCACCCACCAGTATCAGAGGAGGGTATGTGTTAGGTGGTATTGAAGGGCCCGTATGAGCTGACCATTGCTCCCTGGCCGTCCAGCCATCGTCCAGCAAGCCAAGCACCAAGGGCCCCCCTTCACCCCTTCTTTTCCCCCCTCCTTCCCTCACTCCCCCACCAGTATCGGAGGAGGGGATATGCGAGGCGGTGCTAAAGGGAGAGTACGAGATGAGCAGTGCCCCCTGGCCGGCCATCTCCCAGCAGGCGAGCCACCTGGTGGGGCGCATGCTGGAGAGTGATGCTTCCAAGAGAATCACCACCCAGGAGATCCTTGGTAGGTGTGCCTTGGGAGTGTCTGGGGTGTGTCTTAGGGTGTTGTGCAATACTAGCTGGGGGCATGGGGCAGCCTGGCCCGGCCGGCCATCTCCCAGCAGGCGAGGCACCTGGTGGGGCGCATGCTGGACAGCGATGCAGCCAGGCGAATAACCACCCAGGAAATTCTCGGTAGGTGTGTGGGTGTGTCTTGGAGGGTGTGGTGCAATACTAGCTGGGGGCAATGAGCCGTGCCCGCCCTGGCCGGCCATCTCCCAAGAGGTGAAGATCTGGTGGGGTGTATGCTGGGCAGCATTGCTGCCTGGCGAATCACCACCCAGGAATCCCGGCGGGTGTGTCTTGGAGAGGGGCGGTGTGGGAGAGGGAGGGGGGGGGAATGGGGAAGAGGGGATTGCCTGGTGGGCGAATGAGTACGCAGGAGAGCCTTATCCTTGGTAGGTGTGTCTTGGGTGGGGGAAGCGGTGTGGGGGGGGAGACGGGGGAGAGATGGTATAGAGGGAGGCGAGCAGTGGCTCCTGGCGTTACTTTTGAGCATTCTCAAAAGGTGAGCAGTGGTTGGTTCCCGGCTGACCATGTTCCCTCATGCCAAGGGCGTTGTGGAGGGGTGATAGAGAGTGGCTTGATCAGCAGAACAGTACTCGATAGGTGTGTTCATAGAGCGGAGAGTATTTGGTGGTGGGTGTGATTGGGGCATTGTTCGACGGCTGAGAGTTGTTAATTGGGGCAGTGGGTGTGCTTGGGGCATTCTAGAATATGCGTACAGTCCCATACACGCACACTCACTCACTCTGACGCACACTCACTCACTCTGCCGCACACTCACCCACTCTGCCGCACACGTTCATGCACACTGACACTCTTTCCCTCACTCTCTCCTCTCAAGCAGACCATGAGTGGGTGCGAGAGGGAGGAGCGCCGACGTGCCCCCTGTCGCTACCAGTGATGAAGCGTGTGCGCCAGTTCTGCCAGATGAACCACCTCAAGCGGCGAGCCCTCGCGGTAAGGCACCCTTGCAACCCTGACACGACACCTTGCCTGTCATTCATACTCTAAAGCCCCTAAACCCCCCACCTCCAGCCCCTTTGTTCTAATGGAGTCGTGGCCACTTCAATCAAGCTTGCTCTCCAATCAAAGGAGGACTTTTGAGGCGCCTCAATCAAAAGTCTCTTCGATCGAGTTCGCACTGCTATCGGGGAAGGGTCCCCATGGCAGCTGAGTGAAACGTTGGCTAATGTAGCTGCACCCATTCTCCCGAGATAATGTCAAGGAACACCGCATGCTCGTTATAAGAGAGCAATGAGAAAACAAACCCCTGCTTGTCACATGCGTATCAGCCAACAAGGTCGTCAACCGAGTTTCTTCCTTGGCCCCCAATCTTTCCTTTTTTTGCTTTCTGTCACGGGCTTTGACCATCCGAACCTGGACAGGGACGGCTGTGACTCAGCCTTGATTCGACTCCGGAGGACCGCTTTCCACTTCCCCCTCCCCCCTGCCTCCAGCTGGTGGCGGGGTGCTGTTTGGATGAGAAAGACATGGCAGCCGAACGCGCTTTCACCATCGAGACCTGGGCAGAGGCAGCTGCATGTCAGTCTTGAGTCGACTCAGGAAAACCCCCAATCCGCCCTCAGGACTCATGTGCCTCTCTCCCTCTCTCTCCCACCCACCAGGTGGTGCCGGGGTGCTGTTTGGACGAGGAGGTTATGGCAGTGACCCGAAAGCGCTTCAACCATCTCGACCTGGACAGGGATGGCTGTGTTCAGTCTTGAGTCGACTCACGAAAACCAGCCTTCCCCTTCCCAACACCGCAGGTGGTGGCAGGGTGCTGTTTGGACGAGAATGAGATGGCGGCGATTCGAACACGCTTCGACCATCTCGACCTCGACAGGGATGGTTGCATCTCGGTGTCCGACCTCGTTGCCGGCTTTCAGTCGCTGCACATCCCTCTCTCAGAGGAAGAGGCCCGAGAGATCATCCAAGCGGTGAGCCAAGCTTTCCCCTAGTGCGTGTCTCGACAGGGACGGCTGTATCTCAGTGTCTGATCTCGTTGCTGGCTTTCAGTTGCTGCACATTCCGTTGTCAGAGGAAGAGGCCAGAGAGATCATCCAAGCGGTGAGCCAAGGCAAGGTTTGCCCCGACAGTGCTGTGCCAAATGAAGCTGTTGCCTACCCTTGATGAGCAAATGCACGTTCACCATCTGGACCTGGATAGGGATGGAACGGCCGCATCTCTGTTTCCGACCTAGTTGGCGGCTTTCAGCCACATCCCGCTTTCAGAGGAGGCCGCCCGAGGCTCATCACGAGTGGGGGATAACTCACCTTGACCCAATTACAGACTTGTTACCATGCAATGGCGACCCTATCTAGGTCCTTTCAATGATTGACACGAGAGACTCACATATGGCGCCACCCTTCTCTTCTCCCCTCTCCCCGACCTTTCTCCAACAACGGAGAGATTGCCAAAGTGGTGGTGAGACGAACTCGCTTTGACCATCTTGACTTGCAACCCCCCCGACCTGCCTCTCTCTTCTCCCCCCCACTATGAGGCCAGGCGGACAGCAAGGGGTCGGGCACATTGGACCTGTCAGAGTATGCATTGGCCATCATGGTGAAGCGCAAAGACGGTGAAGAGCAAAGACAGTGCGCATACAGATAGGGTGAATGCTAGTGCAACTGCTTATTTAACCTGCCTCTCTCTTCCACCTCACCCCCTCCGTCGGAGGCCAGGCGGACAGCAAGGGGTCGGGCACATTGGACCTGTCGGAGTATGCATCGGCCATCATGGTGAAGCGCATGGACGCCGCGCGCATAGACAAGGCATTCCGGCACTTTGACAAGTGAGTTTTGAGACGCCTCAAAAGTCAGAGCATGCAGCGGCCACCATGGTGAAGTGCACGGATGGTGCGTGTATAGAGTGGGTATTCCTGCACTTCGAGGGGTGGGTCACTGCTGTCGTGAGACAGACTTTGTTGCTCATCCATTTGGGTAGGATGCATTTCTGTGCAGTCAGGTAGAAGACATGTTTTTGTTAAGCGCACATGCCGTCACATAGTTTGATAGAAGATGGTCAAGATTGTGATGTGGGCTATGAGCTTTATCCCAGTTGCTTGGACCACTTCTTTCAAGCAATTGCTGCTAATGCATGTGCTTGTTGCCCTCTGTGTGTTCCAGGGAGGGGCGTGGTTATATCACAATGGCTGATTTGAAGGCCACGCTCGCAGCAGGCGAGAGTGATGAGACAGTGGAGCGCCTCTTCAAGGACATTGGCAACAAGCATGTGAGAAAAGCACCCTGCTCTATCTGGCTTTTTTCCCAAAGGCCCCCACCACGGCCAGTTACTGCAACCTACAAGTCACACCTTCCCTTGCTCCCCTTTCTTCTTCCACGTCTGCCCCTCACTTACAGAGTGGGCACATTGACCAGGAGGAGTTCAGTCGGATGATGCGTGAGGGTATGGAGGATGGCAGTGCATGGAGAGGTTCAGGGCTATTGAGCAACCTTTCAGCGATCAAAATACAGGAGCTGCACCATACTGAGAAATTTTGAGCCTCCATTTGATTCTTTGCAAAGAATAGTACACTGCTGTACAATAGCCTGCCTATGCTTGACAATGGAGTAGCAGCAATCCACGGATGTGCAGTAATGTGAAATCAAACCTTACCGAAACGTTCCAAAACGTGAAAGTAACAATCTGAAACCCCGAATGTCTTACCGCATCGCATTGCACCTCATCGAAGCGAACAGTTACAACACTTCGTGATGAACGCGACATCAAAACACTGGTGCGAGAAGAGTTGGAGTGATCAAAATTCCTCCACTCGCACGCCCTCGTTCATGCCAACCCCAAAACACCACATCCCCTTGACCAAGATCCAGGAATTATCAAGATGACACTACCAAGGCCGCCATGGCCGGACCTTCGTTGCCTGGAACTTATTGCGCGTGAAGCCTACGTGTCAGCTGGCTTTAAGAACAACAGTTTCCGACTCGCCTCGATAAGACGAAGAGAATGGTGCTCTCTAGGTGTTCATCAGTCGAACATTGTATCTTTCTCAAAGTCTTACCTGTTGTTATCTCAGCTATCGGATACCAAGGCTCTGTCCATCAGCGATCAGCTTTCAAGGTCCTATCAACACAACCATGACAACACAGCACGCTCTTATTGGCAAGAGAGATTTCGTGTTACCACGGTGCAGAACAGTCCCAAGGTTTTATCAGCCACTTACCAACACCTCCAACTTGAGCTGTGGCCTGACACTCATGCTACGACACTACTTAACAAGGGTGTGCTCAGACATCCGGATCATCAGGCTTTCAGAGCCTCATTGTCAACTCTCCAGCCGGTTTTCTGTCATCATTGCACCATGCCTCGCGCTCCTGCAAAGGGGAAGCAAGTAGTAGAGGAGAATCTACCTAAGGAGCCTCCTGCGGCGCCAGATGCTCCGGCTGACGGGGTAGCTTCGACCTCTGAATCGGCGCCGATGGCTGGAAGTTTCGGCTTAACCCCTGCAGAGAAGGCCACAACGACATGCCAGTTGTCAGAAGACGGCTTTCTTGAAGACGACTCTGATGAAGAACTGGACATTGACATTCAACAAGAAGCTGCAGCTCGCCTACGTTATACGGCCATCCTGTTGGTTCCCTTCATGCTGCAGAATAAGCTGGGTGCTGTCATTAACATGGTGTGGACGCTCCTGCGCAAAGTCTGGGCTCCTTCGCTTTCGGCGGGTGCTGTTGACACAGCTTCAGTACAGACCCTCCCGGCTGGGTACGTCGCGAAGCAGCATTTCTGCCGACTTCAGCTGTCTTTCCTGCGAGAAGAGGATGCGGTAACAGTCAGAACGAAGACGGTGGAATACCAGCGGCCGAAAGGGAAGATCACGCTTTTCTGGCAACATACGGAAAACCCAGCTTACCTGAAGGAGAAGGCGTCTAATCCCGCTGTTATCGAGTTATATTTTAAAGATGTCTCTGCTAACGTCTCTCCTGATTTGTTGAAGGACATGCTCTGCCGTTACCCGCTGAAAATCCGCAAGACCTCTGCCTTCGCCAAAGGCCTTTGCTTCCACCGGGTTGTCCATCCTGTTACGGGAGCTGACACAGACACGGTGAAAGGACTGGTTATTGCTCACCCGGATGACAAACACCGCTGGCGTCACGTCATCAACAACCCAATGGACACCTCAAAGCAGATCATGGTTCACTACCCTCTATTATCCTGCACGTTCTGCGGCGGACATCATTATGAGAAACTCCATGATATGTTCGTCACCGAGCGGCAGAATAATATAGGGAAGTGGAGTTTGAATCTGGGGAGGGTGCATAAGATCAATGGTAACACAGAGATGTTCATACACGTACCTGTCATTTCTTTACTCTCTGTACAAGGTACTAACAACTGGGTCGCCTGTCGCAGCTGCATCCATCCGCACGTCGCCGCTTGTCACTCCCATTCTCTTGGATCCGGCTATTGTCTTAACCTCAACTGGCGGGAACCGGGAAGAATGGATCTGCACTCAGGCGGGATGCGGAAAGGCGAAGGGCTCCTCTTTCATGACCGCTGCAGACCATATCACCTCTGCGGACCACTTGATCCACCTGGAGGAGTTGGGCTCGGCGACAAGGGTGACGATGGGGAAAGCAAACCTGAACAGCATCAAGAAGGAATACGGGATGTAGGGCCACGAAGTGATGGAGCTGTTTTCACCTGCGGTTGCACAGGGGGGAGAGGTGCCGTGTACTGTGATGTGTCTGGGGGTTCGCCGTTCAAGCTGGCTGTTGACTGTTCGGTAGTAGGTATCGTTTTCTGAGCTGCTGCTGTTTGTGGCCTTTTCTGCATATGAGTACTGCTTCGATCCGTGGATGCTGAGGGGTCTGTCGCAGTGGTTAAATGAATAAAAAGGACACGTTTGTGGTAACCGCGTTGAACATCAATGGCTTAAGCAGCGCGGCTAAGAGGAGCACGTATAACAAGTGGTTCAAGTCAGCAGCAAACATACTCATACTCACAGACACGAGGGTGGAAGCTGACCATAATTTCTGGACTCAACTGAACCCATCAGCCTTCGCGGCGGTTTCGCCGGCGGGAGGAGCGGGAGGAGTTGCGGTCCTTAGTTTTACGCCGGGTGTTGTCTTCAAAGACATCTGCTCACACGACTCAGGCAGACTGGTAGCGGTAACTTTGGAGAGGGGAGATTTATCCTGGCGAATCATCGCAGCCTATTTCCCTGCTCAAGCAACAGCAAGAGGGGTTTTCTTTAGAGACTGTCTCTCGAGATTTGTCAGCAGCCTTCCGCCAGCGCCTCACACGATCCTCATCGGGGACTTGAATGTGATAGCAGATCCGAGGATAGACAAGTCGTCGAAAATAGGATCGTCAAGGGAGAATCAGAGGCTGCTTGACACCTTTCCATCACTTGATCTTCAAGATGCCTTCCGTACCTTACATCCGACGAAGCGGGAATACACCTTCTACGCACGTTTGTTAGAATCTAGCAGCAGGAATGAATGAACTATGAAAGTATTGGGTACAAATATGAAACCCTAAAAGGGGCTGTACCCCATATTGGCTACCCCACTACAGCCTACACATATATAACATGCATATACTTTGACACACCCCCATAGGCAAAGTGGGGGAGAGCAAGGGGTCACAAGACCAGTCAAGAGAAGCAAAGCAAGCTCAGGGTGGATCACAACGTCACCACACACACTGAGCACAAGCAAAGGGCCACAAGGCCAGTTCACATGCAGAGGTATATATGCAACAACAACAGCACAGTGATCTCTACCTAGCAGAGCAAGCACGCAGGTATATATATAGATCACAGTACAAGCAAAGTCTACAGCAAGTGAGGAAACGTGGGCACAAGGCCTAACAGAGTGCAGAAACGCTGATGATCACCAGACGAAAGCGCCTTGGTGAAAATATCAGCAGTGTTGGCCCGAGTGGCCACGTGAGCAAGACGAAGCTGACCACGCTGCTGCAACTCTCGAGCCAGGAAGTAACGCAGAGCGATGTGCTTCGTTCTGTGCTCCAGTCTGTGCTCCTGACACAAGGCAATGGCGGCCTTGTTGTCGACGTACAGCACTGGAGGAGAACGAGGCCTCTCTCCCAAGTCGGTCAGCAGGTAGGTGAGCCAGCGTAACTCCTGTGCAGCCATGGCTGTGGCGTAGATCTCAGCCTCACAACTGGAGCTGAGAACTGAAGACGAGCGTGTAGAACGCCAAGAAACCGAACCAGAGCCAAGGCTGAAGGTGTAACCCTGTGACGACCGCTGCGTAGCCTGGTCGTCAACCCAAGAAGCGTCTGAGTGCCCAGTGAGGACAACGTCGCTCCATCCTCCAAGCACGAGCCACATGCCCGATGTACTGCACAAGTAGCGTAGTACCCTCTTAGCAGCATCCATGTGCACCTTTCGGTGCCGACCAGGAGCCACGTAGCGAGCCAGAAGGCCAAGAGGGTACGCAAGGTCAGGACGAGTGCAGGTCATCAGGTACATAAGGCAGCCCACTAGCTCTGGGTAAGGACCACTCGGCTCTACGGACTCGTCCGAAGGTGGAGCTGAGAGCGAGTGACCTGTAGCCAGAGGAGTGGCCAGTGCCTAGGACCAGGTGAAGCCGAAGCGCTGAAGGACCTGCTGCACCATGTGTGACTGAGTCAGTGTGATGGTGCGGCGTGCTCTGTCCCGGGTGATCCGCAAGCCAAGATAGCTTGTCAGCTCACCCAGGTCTGTGCACGTGTGTCTCTTTTGCAGCTCCGACTTCACCAGGGCGAGAGCCTTAGTGTCAGCAGTGGCAAAGACCAAGTCGTCGACGTACACGAGGATGTAGAACGGCGGCAGTGAAGTGTTGGTGCGCAGAAACAGCAACGGGTCAGCAGTCGACGGAGAAAACCCAAGAGCCGCAAGTGTCGTCCTCAGTGTGTCGTGCCACTCACGCGGCGCCTGGCGGAGACCGTAGACCGGCCGCCGGAGGCTCCACTGGGTACCAGGAGGGAACGACCCAGTGAAGCCAGGTGGGCGGCGCAGCCAGATCTCCTCGTGCAGGCTGCCCTGTAAGAAAGCTGTGCTGAAGTCAAGAGAGTGAAGCTCGTAGTCACGCTGAGCGGCAACGTGCAGCAGCACCCGAAGAGTGGTCATCTTCGGGGTGGGGGAGAAGGTCTAGAAGAAGTCAACTCCCTCTCACTGACTGAAACCTCGAGCAACGTAACGAGCCTTGAAGACAGGCGGAGAACCTGGCAGCCGCTTCACCCTGAAAATCCACATGCCACTGACGATGTTCGCCCCACGAGGGGGAACCTCGTCGATGTAGGTGCCTGTGGACTTCCAGGATGCCATCTCTGCATCCATGGCTGTCTGCCACTGAGAGGAGTACTCACCCGGGATCGCCTCAGCGTAAGAGCGCGGGGTCGGGATGTCTGGAGCATCTGGGTCTCCCTTAGGGGCAGGCAGCATGGACACGAGATGAGGCGCAGCGGCTGCAAAACACTCAAGGTCCTCGTGCCTGTCCTCAAGGACGTCCGTGCCAAGAGCACACTCACCCCC